ATATTCTATTTCTCTTTCTTCGTAATATTGATATTAAGAGTCACTCATATTCTAAGAGAAGGTGGCAAGGAATTTAACTCAAATAACACCTTAATATAGAAGACTTAGACTACAAAAATGGGAAATATGTAGGTTTTTAAACGAAGAAATCTTCTATCCTATACTGTGCGTGTATATTATCGAATTATGTTGTATATTCTCAGAAAAAAATTAAATCAGAAAATTATATTTAAAGCGAGTTTTCCTACGCCAAAAAAAAAATCATATAGAAGCAAATAAAATCTGACCTAGTTATATGTATACAAGAGAACTTTATAATAAATACAACATTGGATAGGAAATATGTTCCACTACAAGCTTACATGTATCCCATTATATAGTCAAAAATTATTATGAAACTTATAGTCGTTTTGATTGACGATCAGTTTTGAAACATTTTTCATAATTGATTTCTCACTAGCCTTTGAAGAAGATAAACATCTTAATAATTAAATGGCAAAGAAAACGAAAAAACATTCACTCCGTAATAGGTTCACACATTAAAAAAATTGACGAGTGTCGAATTAATTAGCAGTCGTGGTCCCGTGAAGGACCGTATGTAATGCTTCAGGCTCATGACATAAGCTATGTTTTGACCACTGATTGCGGCTCGTCTCTTTCTTTTCTACTAACACCCTATTTCAGTTACATTAAAATGCATATTATGCAATTCTATTTTTTTTCGTGGATGATGCAACTTCATACTGATGTTGTGAAATTAAATTCGCTTTTATTTAGGTTAGTGACATCGTACATCTTCAAAGTATTTAGTTGTGCTGTCGATGAAAATAAGAATAAGAATTATCACTCTTTGTGATCAAATCTGGAGATATCAACAAATGATCATCAATTAATAATATAATTTCTGATCTTATTATTTGTTTGTTTTTTTTACAAATTTAAGTATATTGGATCTAATTATAAATTCTCACATCAATTTTTGCTTTATTTAATTATCAATTAATGAATAAGACTTGTACCTTATCGATTTGATAATGATGAAAATCATTGTTATGAATACAGCATTCGATTCGAAACATCACATACACAGCAGATACGATGAAATTTGACGTTACTTACACAAAATAATTGATGATCATCATTCATAAGTATCCTTGTGTTCACTATACATCATTAGATCGCTCTCAACCGTAAAGAAAGGAATATGTAAGCACACTATATCTTTCTTCACAGTATTTATTAAAGTACAATACTTATCAATATCTAATTGAAAGCGATTAATGTTTTATTAGTGATTTATTTTTTTTTTCAAAGGCGTAAGTGAAGTTAAGAAGGTGTATGGTTTATATCATGTACTTGAATTTCGATATCTTTTGAAGTGATCAATTTTTTTGTCGAAAATGAACTATCTATATGCATTTTCATATATCAACTATGAGAATCATTTAGTTCAATAACTTTACTGAAACGTTGTCATTAAATACAAAGAGAAAAAAAAATGAAACTTCGATTTCATGAGTTTATTTCAAAAATAATTGATCAAATTCAATTAAACTATGAAATAAAATTTCATAGTTTAATTGAAATTAGACATCAACTCGCAAATGTTTAATTAATATATAATGTACTGAAAGTAGTAGAGAAGAGTATGTTAAAATACATTATTATGTCAATAGTTTCATCTGTCATCACCTATAAGACGTCACTATGTAATTTTATTTTTATTTTTTAATTGATTTTAAACATTAATTTGGTTCTTGCTGTAAATTTCGTTGTTTTTGAATAAAAAAATCGTACATATTCAGTGTCGCCCTCTCGATCATCTATAATTATGTATGATTCGTGCTCGGTTACTGGTGGTGCACATACTTGACAACCTATAACATGCCCTCGTTATTACGTTGTGTGTATCTTTCTTGCTCTATTTTATTCTTTCTTCGTCTTCCCAATTTACTAAAAAACTACCTATATACCGTAAATTGACTACCACGTTCTTAAATGTATATGCATTCGTATTTTTTTTCTTTCATTCTGTGATTTCTTTTGATGTCAATTCACCAATAAATCGAATGTCAGTCATATTGACGAAATTCAATTTTCGTTCTTTTTTTATAGTTTTTCTTTCTTTTGTGGTTATTCCCTGGAAATTCAATACTTTTACAAAATGCACAAACATATTCTTACCTGCGTGTAATGTTGTGCATTGTGATGTCAAATCGGTTAGTGTATGATCAAGGTAATTAGCGAATAATGTGTGTGCATTCTGTAGAAGAACCAGAAATGTGATGACTTATGTATGAATCATAATTTGTTTTCGTATCTTTTTGAATTCGTAAGATGTAGAATTATATATATAGATCACACGCTAATAGTCTTTTCTCTTTCGTACGCATGCTTATTCTCACGTTATATCGAATAGGCACAGCAAGGTCGAAATATAAGTACGTAAATAGACATTAGGCCTTTTTTATTATTTGAAGACTGTGTAGATGGATTGAAGCTATATAATATCAAGAAGCGTAATCCGTGAATATTCATCCTTTGTCTTTTATTTTATTTCTAGGAATTTTTTTAGTGATGCTGGAAATATTTTTTCTTAAAATATGTCTGTCACAAAAATGAATGAAAAAAGAAAAAAACGAAAAGTAATTCCATTAAATCATTGAAGTAACAACAACATTAACTAATGGTTCAGACAAATTTATATTCAGCAATGTTAAAATTAAAAGTTTCAATGATGTTTTCTTTTCTTTTTTTTTCGAAAAGGACAAATTTCTAGTACATTAACAAATTGGTATTACAGATAAAACGATGAAATTGTCATTGTGTTGCATTTTTCTCATTATATCTCATGCACCCTCTCTCTCTCTCTCTGTCTTTTTTGTGAAGTCATATGCACACATACACATTCGTCTTGGTCGTCGCACTTTTTTATATAAGAATGTCAATAATCACACTACTAAAGTCGACAAATAAAAGAAATAAAGCACGAGGAGATCGGAGTATAAAAAAAAAAACTTCCAATAGAAATTGCGTAAAGTTCTCCTGCCGCCAAGTTATTTTTTTCTTTCCATAATTTACAACAATGTCTTTTCTACTTGTTTTAACTTTTAAAAAAATAAATTGAAAATATAAAATAAGTATATGAATTCTTCGAATTTTATTTTTCTTTTTCGAGTACAAACAGATATTTAAAAAAAATGGCAATAGGTAAAAAGATGATGAATCATTGCTTGGAAATTTTGTTAATAGTCAGTAATGACTGAGGTACCTAATACATATATAAATATGCATACCATTGGATATAAAAGTAAAAGCAAATAATAAATGTTTTTTTCCGTCACGTCAACGATGAGGAAGAAAAAAACCTGTTCCTTTTTTTTTTTTTACATAATCATTTTATTAAAAGTATAGATCGATGTTACCAATATCATGAATTTAAACGTTAAGATAAATGTAGTTTGGTATTTTTGAAATTATCTCTACGATACTGAAATGAAATATGTTTTGAAAATAAAACATTAAAAAATAATAAGTTTCAATGAGAATTTAATAATATCGGATAATTTTTTAATTAAATAGAAATCGATAAAAAAAATATGATATTCTATTTTTATTAAGAAACGGATTACTTTTTTCTATTTAATTACTTTACTCTTCTGTATTCTTCAAGTTTCAAGGAAGAAAATTTTGACGACTCTTAGTTATTACACTGAATAATTACATATCATTTTTCAATGAATGATACACTCTAGTAAATATTTATATTGTTATAAAGTATCTGAATTGTGAGTACATTGTAACCGTTATGTAGGAAAATTAAATAAAGAGAAACCAATCTTTTGAAACAGTTAAATTAAAAAAAAAAGAAATAAGGCGCTCGTTCAATTATTTAACTCAATCTTAGAAAAAGTCATCTCTACATAAATTAAATTTAATTAATTCTCTTTAAAAAAACCAAAACCAAAAACAAGAATTCTTAATAATCATTATATATTATAGATGTCTGACGAATTATCTTCTTATTCTTCACCTTGTGCCCAATTGAGTATAATTGTTGATTTAACAAGTTCACCATTTGATTTTAAAACACTATATAATCATTTATCATCACAACCACCACCCAATAGTGATCATCATCATTGGTATTTTGGTGGTCTTCGTTCTTATACAATCCCATTTGAATCTAATCATGATGAAATAACTATTAATCGTGTTATATCAAAATTAAAATTATTACAAAATCATTTATCTATATTACCACCATTTTGGATTTCATATAAAAAATGTCAACCACCATCACAACAACAACAGCAAATAACCCCACTGACAACAACAACAACAACACCCGAGATTATTCGTAAAAATGCTAAATTAGGAAAATTTTATGCCAATAATGGTTTTGATATTGAATATACAGGAGGTGCACTTGTTGCTATAGATAAATATATATGGGATATACAAACACAAATAAAAGAACCATGGCGTTTAGTATTTTATCATGATAAAATTGATATTGATTATGGTTGTAAAGAAAAAAAATTGCGGAAAACACTTAAAGCTGAAATGATGGATAGATGTGTTGTTATAATGACACAAACAGATGGTTTTACACTATTTATTAATATGAATGGAAATCCTATTGATTATGAAACTGTTAATTCAAATAGTTCTCTAAATACTAATGATAAAAGTAAAAAAAGAAATAAAAATTAATTAAAAAAAAAAAGAAAAAGAATTTCTGTTCTGTTTTTTTTTTGTATTTAGAAATGGATCCTACATTACGTAAAATAACTGAACCAACTATTTCATATATTCGTACTGCATCTCGAGAATCACAACCATTTTATTCAACTATTCGTCTTTCGATGTCACTTTCAAATCAATATAATTATAATATTAAAGATGAAAATCATTGTGAACAATTACAACGTTTAAATTTATGTTATACACAGTTTATTGAATTTTTTCATCGTAATCATATATATGATTGTTTTGGTATTATAATAAGTATACCATCAACAATAGATTTTTCATCAATAACATCATTATTTATGTTAAATGAAACAACATCATTTATTAAACAATATTGTTGGCAAATGTTAATGTCTATTGGTTATCGTTTTCAACAACGTTTAACAACAGATTTTATTCAACAAATGAATTTAATTGATAATGATGATGAATTTTATCAGGTAATTTCTTAAATAGATAAGTAATAAAGAAAACGATTTTTTTTTATTCAACAAATCATTAAAAATCAATGTAATATCTTTTGATTTCCTATTCGATCAAGTATTTGAAGTATAGATGAGAGTGAAAAATTCTAATATATAGTTATGAGATTGTGTATGACAAATCGGAATCTTTCAATGCCACATGATATTATGCATTTTCTAAACTTTTATTAGTATAAGAATGACAAAATTAATCTGTCATATTTTGACAGTTGGGTATACTCAAGGATATAAATCACGAACCATTGCCTTTGATGAGGAGATTGAGTATCTGATTAATAAACCTCGATTTTTCTCTTCATATAAATAAGGTACCTGTATATTCATGTACAATCATCATAGGTCACTGTAACATTACTT